CCATGTGCGGCGACTGCAGGGCATATGTTTGCAAGAATTGTATTTAGAAAAATGTTACTTGTAAATAGTTCGCATTTTTGTTGATAATAATATATTTTAATTAGGGAGTATGTATATTTTAGTTCCTTGTTCTTTATATGAAACGAAAAAATCGGGAAAGAAATAGTGATATTTATAATTCTTTTTTAAGAAATTATGTTCTGCTGTCAGAAAACCTTGAAAAATAAGTTATGTTATGTAGCATTTGTCATTTTTAATTAAAAATAAATAGAAAATAAGCTTACATGGTTTTATTCCAGCTTAAATGATTACAAATTATAACAAAATAATGAATTGTCTTTATTAATTACTCAAAAAACCCAGGACGCAGTTAAGGACAGAATAAACCACGACGCCAGTTGAGATTTATAATTGTTTATTCCTGAGGTCATTTTTTGTAAGACAATTATAAACTATTAGAATAACTTTTAAACTATCACTCTTAGACGAAATAGTTTTTCATACTGGAAAAGCTGATAATTTTACGTGAATTAAATAAATTATTCTAGGACGATTAAGTAAAACGTGGGTTTTTTAATTTGCAGCTAATTTGTTGACGGTAATTAAAAAAGTAATTTGTCTCATTTTAAAGATAAAGCTTACAGTTTTATTTAAACAATAAAAAAAAGATTAAACTTAAAGAGTATTGTCTGTGAGTGTTAAAAATGAAGCTGAACTGAAGATGTTGGACTGTATAGGGAAACTAAAAATTAAAACGCCCAAGAATTCAAAATACTGTACGGTATTTGTCCTTCTAGTTGATGGATTTTGATTTTTTAAAATCTTATGTACATATTATACTATTAATAAATTTGTAAATTGTTTAAACAATTAGGAAAATATATTTTTTCCAAAAAAATCAAACTTTTTATTATGTTCTAATTGATTTTCTATTGTATAATAAAAAAGCATTTATCTTTAAAATTATACTATTATGTTTCCTTATTATCATAAACAATTAGCTGAGAATTAAAAAAAACCTATTTTTACCTAATTATTCCTACAATATCTTTTTTGTTTAAATTCGTGTAAACATTATCAGCTTTTCAGATGTGAAAAAATATTTTTTCAACAGTTTAAAAGTTATTCTAATTGTTTATAAGCTGAAAATAACAGTAACTTTGCAAAACGATTTATGGTTATAAACATTTTTTTGTGCACATTAAAAGAAACAATCTTCACCTTTAAAACGTCATCCGTAGAATTATTGTATCTTTAGTATTTTATGTCTTATATTGTTGCCAAAAATCTCTGGGATAAACAATTTAAATAACTTTCAAACTAATTGAAGGATCGACCTGAAATTTTGAGGGTTTATTAAACACTACAAGTCTTCCCTTTGATAGTAATCACAAAAGTGTAAATTAATTTTTACAAAAGATCTAAACAAATAACGATTTTGCTTTATTTTAATATTTTTGAAGCAACAAATTATTCTAAAAAATTTTAACATACGCCATTTTGAAGTTTTTTTATTGCTTAAAAGATAAAATGTTTATATTTAAGTATAAATACATACCTTTTTAAAGCTAAGCAAATAATTTGAACAAATTTTGCAGTAAATTCTTAATAATTAAAAAACAACGCCGACATTTCTGCAGCAAATGTATTAATTGGCTTACTATAGGTAAAGGAAAAACTCGTCAAATAGCTAGTTACTGTGATGTCCTGAACACAGTTAAATTTTGCTTATTCTTGGAGTAAGTGGTTGAATCTAAAAACTGGAAAATTTCATCTGAATTATAAAAGAAATTAGAAAGTATTTTGTTCAGTATTAATTTATAAATAAACCCATTTCTCCGTCCCATTTTTCCTGTATCAAAGTCTGTTTGAAAAAAGCTGCTGAAATTTCTGCCAAGTAGAGAAAAGAATTCTTCCTACTTTTACTCTTTTGTATTTTTTATGTATTGCATTTATATCATATTATTTTCATCAGTAAGAATTGTACAATCTGTATAAAGAACCAGCCATAATCATTTTTATAAAAATTGGAAGACTGCATTGTACAGGTCACATAGAAAAGCTACATGAAGATCTAGCCCCCCAAGAAAATCATAAAGCAGGCACCAACTGAAAGCGAAAAGCCTGTAATAGATCTGAATGTAAGATTTTAGAATGAGCCAAGACCCACAAATCAAGACTGCTATTTAGAAATTCCATTCAGCCATTTGGCAACCTTCAAACACATGTAGAATATGTATTTGAAGCTGTGGAGACGAAAGCGAAAAAGAAAATAGTAAAGGGTATTGACATGATTGTTATGTTAGAAGTTGTATTTAAATAAATCAATTTATTTAAAAAATAAATACTGTTTTTGTTTAAATATATTAGACAACTTACTCAAATTTATAATAATTTTGCCATCATTTTCAAATTTATTCTACATATCAAACTGGTACTATACCAAACATATATACTAAAGTATTTTCCACCTAAGAAGACTGATTTTCAATTAAATGCTGGTAACTTTATTACTAGCGGACCAGATAAGCGGCGATATATTTTACACTACCTTTATGAATCACATTGTACAGCTTTGTTGTTTCAATCAGCACTGCTCAACAAGTTATCGTTTATTGGTTTTAATATTGTATTGCAATAGCAAGAGTACGGAATATTTATTTAAACAGTTAATTTATCATATGTTAATTTTTTTTTAATTTCTTCTGACGTATCATATAATGTAGGTTTATCTACCCAATAATCAAAGTTATGCCTTTACAAGAATATATTATTTGAAAAATAAGGAGTACCATGTATCCTGTTAACGACACTGTTATCGATAAAGGACAAAGTTATCATATTACACTTCTGTTTATTATTAAAAATGAATTGATGGTCGTGGGTTGTATTGGTGTTATTTATTAATTTAGCAAAATACATAAGGAGCAAAAATCTTATTTAAGACGTGCCAACGGTTTTTGCAATCACAATCAACGCAGTGTTAATGCTTGTTTAGCATTGGCTGTTAAATAATTTTTTTTCGATTGTTGCGTCTGTTGTACAACCCTCGTCCTTTTTAGGGTGTAATAGTTATACATAAGTACCTATTTTTTATAGTAGTGTAGTGAAACGGTAATTTAAAGTAAAATGAGTAATTTGGAAGAAAATACAGTCGAAACTTAGAGTGCTATCTCCAGAAGAACGGCGTTTAGTTCTGAAAGTCGAAAGTTATTTCAATTTGGAAAAAAATAATATGGGTCCATTAACATCTGTTATGGCAGTGCTGAAATATTTAGGTTTTCGATAAAAAAGACAAATAATTGGATTTTCGCTAAAGAAAATATGTCAAATCATCCTTTCAAGATGACACCACGTTATTCTTGTTATTAAACTATTCGTTCCGGTAATGGTAAACGCTAAATTATACTTCGGGCTGGAAATTATGAGGGTTTTATTCCAGACGCTATGACCATCCATAACAGTGTTGGATAATGCATTCTACCACTCAAGAGTAGAAGAGAGATTTCCTTCAAGAAGCTGGACAAAAGAAGAAATAAAGTTGTGGTTGACAGAAAAGAAAATTTATCACAGTGACATTTTTAAAAGTCGATTTACTTCAAAGGTGTGGAGAGTACAAAATTCAAAAGAAATTTGTTACTGACCAAATGGCTCTTAAATATGGCCATAAAGTTCTTCGACTTCAGCCCTACCATTGCCAATATAATGCAATTGAGTTACTTTGGGGTATAGCCAAAAAATTGTATGATAAACATACATGCATTAAAAACAACAGATGACGCTAGCGGTCTTAGTTTATGGAAAGAATCGCTAGAATAAATAAAGGCAAAGCAATGGCAAAATTGTATTAGACATACGGAAGACATAATTGTTCAGTCTTTTCAAAATGAGCGAGTTATAGATGAGGTCCGGTCTCTAATTATTCAGATAGACAATTCAGATAGTGACGACTCTGATGGTGAAACATCAGAGGATGAATCGTTTGCTAACAAGAAGTAACAAAAAAGTGTTTCGGGAATTTAATTCAGCCTTTGTGGTGTGTTTTAGTTAAATGATAAAGTACCTTCAGTCAAATTACTGGACTGCATACTCTCAATAGCTTTGGTATTAATTACTGAACTAAATGTGTTTAAACCTTTTGTTTGGTGAAAACTCGGAAGTAACTTAGTGCCAATTGGTTTCAAGGATATATTTAATACAGTGTTTGCAGAAAGTAAAGTCTTGGATGTATTTTATTCGAATTTTGACATACCAGCAACTTGGCAAGTATTTTCCAATTTTACTGCATGCAAAACCATTCACATAATTTTCACTCTACGCAAAATAGAGACTTGCAGAGACCTTGATGAACATTTGATGTCGACAAATAATTTTGAGTATTCGAAATATTCGTTCCCACTTCTTTTAACACGCCCTGTATATACATATTATATTCATTTTATTTGCCTTTGATACAGTAAAATCCAATGTTATTACTGAACATAAAATACAGGAAATTAAATAATTTTTTACTTTTCAAGCGATCGGAATTAAATATTAACGCCCCACTGTTTGAGGCCCACTGACCATATCTTAATTGCATATCGGCCGTCATAGGATAATAGGACTTTAGTTGAGCTCTTTAGTATAATTGACATAATGCAATATGTCATGACATTTACTAAAATAAAGTAAATAAGCAGTAACTTTATTCCTTTAGTCTGTAAGACTTTTGATTTTTGTTAAGTTTGTCTCAATGTAGAGTAAATAAAACAACAATATACCACAAGATTTATGGCAAAATTTATATTGCACAAAATACACAAACTGCTAAATTTTTAAATCAACCAATATCTTGCTGATTATATGCTATAATCTAAGGGTCGATTGTTCTAACGCTAATCAAAACTTGATTGTAATCCAATATTTAATTAAAATCAAATACGTCACATTTTGGGGTTATGTTGACTGATTTATTTTATTATTGTGCATTCTAATTTAAAATAAACCATAATTAAAATCTTTCTGATGCTATTATACTAATAATATAATTAAAAAATTTCATATTTTTATTTACAAATCAATAATAAGCAATTTTTAATAATTTTGACAGCTGCTGTGACGTATTTGATTGTAATTAAATATTTGATTACAATCAAGTTTTGATTAGCATTCAAACAATGGGCCCAAATGATGTTTTAGTCAGTCTATAGCATAGCTAATGTACTGCTTATTGAATTTGTTCCTTTAAGATTTTATTCAATGTAATTGAAGCTACAATGCATGTTTTTTAATGATTTTTAACCATTATACGATTCAAATATGCAACTACCTTAACCTTTTTAAAAGGATTTGTACACTTTTTCAGATCACATTTTTTATAAAATTTACTAAAATCAATTTTCATATCTACTTATCACTTCTTTGGAGGTTCTTGTTTATCTTCACTAGCTGCACCCTTACTTAATTTGTAGTTAATGCTTCTAGTTAATTGCACTAGTTGGGCTCCTTCATTTGTAAAATGGCAGGCAAAGAGCAACATGTTTTGGGGTTGAACTTTCCAAGCGAACCTCATGAATATAGCAGAGTAGAAACATAAAGCTGAAAAGTATTTTGATGTTATAATAGGAGTTAAAGCAAATTAATGGTATACATGTCATCCTATTTTGATGTTGACATTGTCACAGAGTTTCATTTACAAAATACAATAAATAATTGCTTATTTAGAAAGTTGTTAAGGGCATATTCGATACTAATACAATGATACTTGCAAGAAGTTAGGGTTGAGTTAGGAGGAAGATATACTACAAGTCATTCAATAGGTGTGCGAACTTCAACACACAATCCTTCCAAGTGAACATGTGGTAATACAACAGATCTAGATGAATAACATCTTTTTACAGCAGTAAAGACTCCTCCTCCGAGTACTTTATTACTAGTTAAGGAAGAGAGAACCTTTTGACATATGTTATAATTCTGCAGTCCCAATTCTTCATCACTAATACTATCATAAATAATATGAGTAAAATCCACATAATATGAACATTTTGAATAATTAACTGATGTCTTTCCCAAACATATTGAATAGAAAGCTAGGACAAATTGAATTAACCATTTTATAAGCAACACAGCATCATTGAAAATAAATAGTAGATAACCATTTTGAGGCAACCAATATACTCCTTCCCTCAGAGATTTTCTTCTGCTTCCATGTTTTTTTTTATTATTATTTTGTCCTTTTTTAGTATAATAAATTGATTCAAGTTGCTATTTCTTGATTCATCTACGAATTCATTCACAAATTTATATTCTTCCACTTGCTAATTTCTATAAACAATGATTATATTTTAATAACTTAAATAAATTATGTGTGCATTTTTGTTATTAAACTTCTAACCCTGATACACTGAACAAATCGGATTGATATGTAAATTTATTTTTTTATTTATAATCATTTACAACCTTGTCACCTTGATTACAAGGTTTATAAGTGAATACGATTTTAAAAACATACCTACTGTCATCGTGGGACTTATAAACTTAGGATCCTTTCTAAAATCTGAAATTGCTGCTAGTGGTATACCCCAATTTGCTACAGGCCCCCAAAAATGTGTACTGAAAAAAAAACAGATTGTATAACTGTTATTTACAATGTACAGAATACGCATACCTCATTAAGTAACTTCTGAATTCTTTAGATTTTAGTTGTTCAACTAATTTTTTCGTTAATGAAGCCATTTTTGCTGTAGTCTAATATATTTTTGAAAAATTAATTTAAACGACCTTTCTCTACAGCAAGGTTCTTTTTTGACGTTTAAATTTGAAGTTCGCGATTTTGACAGTGCCAAAACCAGAAAACGAAACGCCATTTCCATTTTTTAAAAGTGAAATGTCATTGTTGTGTTAGTCCATAGAACACATATTTAAATATTCAGAGGTTTGAACAGAGACACATATAAAATCATAAAAAACTATTAAAATGTTTAACGAAATTATTTATATTCTAATTTTTATGTAAAATCCTTATTAGCTAATACCTACTTACTGGCGTATATTATTTTTTTCAATTTTAAGAATTATCCCAAATATGGACAGATGATTTGTATTAAGAGATATTTTGTGTATCAGAGTTTAAAAATAAACGTACCAAATTAGTGATAATAATAATTCATAAGAGCAATTATTAATTTTAATAAAATATCGCACTGAAATATAGAATTTAACATAGAGTCGACAGCTGGTTCCATGCACTACGGACTACTACAAACGTCAAAATTTTAGTGGCAGGTGCACGACATAGAACGAAATTATTTTTGAAAATCGGAAAGTAAAGTTTCGGTTAGTTAAACTGTTAATAAATTAGAAACCATGTAACAAAATAACACCCAGGAGCGGTTAATAAGTTCGTTGTGAAAATAGTTTATATGTACATATAACTTAGCATAATTAATTGTGTAATATCAGAAATACATCAAGAACCATGAATTCTAACCTAACAACACCATCTTTTACACACAAAGATTTATTGCTTAAAAAACTGTATTACTCAGTGATTTGCAGTGTACTTTCTCAGCTGGTTTTACTGCAGTTGTATGTGTTCGTGTCAACTTTTAATCTGTTTCATCCCATACAATGGATTTTGGAATCTATAACAACCTTTACATCATTTAGAACATGGTTGTTCACAGTGCCATTTCTAGGCATTATATTCGCTCAAAGCGTTATATGCGCTAAAGATTATGTGTTTAAATCAACTTACTGCTCCACTAGATTTCAAAAGTTTATTTCTGCATTTTCACTACATAATTTAGTACTTCTGTTTTTACACATTTTAGCAGGGCCTGCTTTAATATGGTTATTTTTATCACTGGGCGGAGGACAATTCCAGAACCTTACAACTATAGCTGAAAACAAAGTGTATGTCCTTAATGAAGGTAGTTTTTTCTTAGTTTTAAGTGGATTGTGGACAGGATTTTTTTACTTTATAAAAGTATATATGGCAGAAAAACATTTAGCTTTTCCAGTTATACATCAAAGAAAGTGGTTACAGTTCAAAACACAAGTGGTACCTTTGCTAAAAAATAGTTTTGGTTGGTCAATTTGGCCAACACTAACTTTCATTATTTTTTATATGGTATGGGGAAGTACATTTAGTGCTGGTTTTAGTAGTTCGTTTGGATTAGAAAATGTAGATAAAATCAGTGGAATTTTTGTTTATTTAAATCTATGGTGTTTCACTGCTATATATTACTTTAATATGCACTTAATGAAGTTCTTTTTTAATTTATTTTTAACTGAACATATAGAATTTCCTCTTTGTAAGCTATCAGAGACATCTTTCAATCTGCAGGACAGTTTAAGTATGTCAGATCTTCCTATAATACAAAATTTAGCATGCTTGGATTTATACAACCTAGCACAGTGGTCTAAAGAAAGAAGGCAAGTGTTTTATACCTTGTCACAACCAGGAGGCCACCATACAACTGGAATGCTTTAGTAGAAAATGTTTTGAAACTGTTTACTGAATACATTGTTCTTCTTAATAAATCTACTGAAAGTGCAGACAGCAAACCAGCAGTAGTACCACCAACACCACCAATGGTAACAACTCCTGTACAGTCACCTGATATGTTTAGAAATTTAAGTCCTATGTCATCACCTGATAAATTTAGAAACCTGAGGAATATGTCAGTAATATCAGATCCTTGCTTGGCAGATGTTCTTAGTGTTACTCAGAAAAGTGGACCTACATTTGAGCTACCTGAAGCTGTGGTCTCAGTATTTAATAAAAAAATCAATAGTTTTATTACTATAGCTCGAGTTGTATTAGGTATTGATTTCTTTTTTGGTGAACTACCTCAAGCTAACATTCAAAAATGCCTAGCCAATGGCCTTATAATAATCTGGACCAGTCAAGGCATTTCCGAATTGACTTGTGCTGCTATGACAGAAGATAGATATGGTATTGTTCAAAAGGATATCCCAGCTTTAGTATCTACTTTAGTTGATTTGAAACAGAATCTGGATAAATTAAGTAAAATATCAGCTTTAACGAAGAAAATTGCTGGCCAGGATGATTTTAATTATAAAATGAAAGTGGCAGTAATTGCAGCTGTTCAGAGGAGCTTGTTTAAGATATGTTTAACTTATAAGGAGTACCTTAATGAGTTGCCTTTAAGTAAAGGAGTTAAGATTTATCTTCAGGGTATTAAAAGTTGAAATCTTAGGTTATTTATGATAATAAATTTATTATTAAACTGGATATTAAATGTTACTATTTTTCCGAATGATTAAACTTTATTTGGTGTTGGTGGAGAGTTATGAATTCCAATTATATATGCTAAATACTGTCAAATGGAGATTATCAGTACAGTTGTTTTTTCTCAAGCATATTTATAAAATATATCTATATATTGTATGTAAATTTATATTTAGATATATTGGATTATGTGAACAAATTTTAACCTCTTGATCAGCTTATTTCATTCAGCATACTGCATGCATAAACAGCGAGTCATTTTATCTGCTAGCATAGGTATATAAGGCATTTACATAAAATAAAAAATTGCCATATTTAATATTATTTATTTAGGATTTAAAAGTGATAATTATAATAATATTATTTTAATGATTATACATATAAAACACATACTTTCTGTCAATTTCTTTCGTCCCTTATCTGATGTATATTAAAGCATGGTGCTGGACCAAGTCCAGTATGACAATTGTTACAATATCTGCTCTCTTCCCTCTTTCATCCAGTCGGCCCTTCATCCAACCTGTTCAGTAGTACCTGAAGAAGCCTTTGCCGATAATTCCTCTTCATTGCTTCTATCATGCCTTGGCCTTGAATTGAGTGGAAGGAACACAGCTCTTCTGTCTTCTTCTTCTTTGAGTGCCTCTCCTATCGGAGATTGGATATCATTATGGTGATTCTAATTTTATTTACTGCTGTTTTGAATAATTCGTTAGTGGTACAGCCAAACCACTCTCTTAAATTTCTCATCCAGGACATTTTTCTACGGCCTGGATTTCTACGTCCTTGGATTTTTCCTTGCATTATATTTTGTAGGAATGTGTACTTTTGTCCTCTCATCAGGTGGCCTAAGTATTCAAGTTTTCTCTTTTTTATATTCATGATAACTTCTGGACCGTTATTTATTCTGCGTATTACCTCTTCATTTGTAATTTTATCCACCCAACTTATATTTAGTATAGGGCGGTAGCACCACATCTCAAAGGTTTTAAGATTTTTAACATTCCTCTGTTTAAGAGTCCATGTCTCAACACTGTAAAGCAAAGTACATAGCATTTTAACATTCTAGTTCGTAGATGAATACTAATATCACAATTACAAAATAATTTTTTCATTTTTATAAAGGTAGACCTGGCAATTTCAATACATCTTTTTATCTTGTTCCAAGTATTTGTATTTGCTTAATTTTTCGAGTTGGGTACCGTTTATTGCGATACTAGTGTCATGTATTGGATTCTTACTGAATGTCATATATTTGGTATAGATCTTCCGCTGTTCTTGCCATTATCACTATATCATCAGCAGATCGAATGTTATTGATAACTTCTCCATTGACTATTATTCCTTCGTTTGCATGTGAGAGACCTTCTTGGCATATTATGTCACTCTTATGTCACCACTAATTAATTCACTCGCGTCTGGGTGAGATTGTGCGTTGTGCAGCAACAACAAAGCTTTCGGAGGCAGACTTTTGTTTTTTTGGTAGGCCAATGACTGGTACAAAATCATTAAAAAAACAGTTCTTAAAAATGCTACAGTCCATCCATTGTGTTGATTTTTATAGGTTGTAGTTAAGCAATTCACTTGAATATTTTTGAATACCCTTGAACTTTTGGATTTTTCTATTGAAAGAGTTCTTAATTTTAATGAATTAGAAGCATTGTTGCAAATCATGATTGTGACCCTATCCTTGCTTTTCTTCTAACCACATGCAATTCCTTCATTTTTAGCAGCTAACGTTTTCGAAGGAAGCATTTTAGTCAGTCAATCTTTAATGATAATCTCTTGTAATTTTAAATAAAATATTCCAATTTCAGTCGAGTTAGCAAAAAGTTTTTCACCACAAAAATTTAATTGTCAGATACCATATTTTTTCTTCCATGAGTCAATCGATCCCTCACTAGCACAACAGTTTTCACCTTCATCCATAAACTTCTTGTGGAATGCAATAGCTTTTGCTTTGTTTATTGGGCCATTTACCGAGCTACCCAATCATTTCATTTGTGAAGAACAAGAAGACACAAGAACAACGCCTCAGAAGTTTGTTCATGGTCTTCCGCGCCAATCCACTCCCAACACTCACACTTCAGTTAACATACTGTTTGATTTCATTCCGTTTATGCTTCCAGTCTCCAACAGTTACTTCTCCAACATCTAAATCTGAAGCAACCTTCTTTATTGCTTCACCCTTGTGCATTTCACTCTGATTAATATACATGTAGACAATAAACAACAATAAATGTAGACAAAATGCGATACAGACATTTCTGGGAATAAGGTGATGACCAATTTCTGAAACTTTCGGCTCGACCTAACTGCGCATAACTATTTGCAATATTGTGATTCACCAGTTATGACTTTTGTCTCAGTTAATCAAGGGGCTCAGATAACTTAGACTCGGATAATCGCGAGTCTACTGTACAAACAATAAATCTTTTTAGTTTCACCAGTAAATGAATTCCCATATTGGAGCTAGAATGCTATCTCACTCTTGCATGATAATATGAATATTTTCATTCCAAATATTTTTCTTTTTGGTGGAATATATTGCTTTCAACTAGGACAATATTTCCACCCAATCAGTGATCCATCAATAGATTAATAAATCTGTCCTCCAAGTCATCCAAAATTGGTTGAGTTCTGAATAATATTGAGCTTGAAGTGAAATGAAAGTATGTATTTAAATGAAAGAATGTCCAAATTATTCAGAGTAAATTTTATACCAGAATCGCCTCAAAAATAAAATGCTGGATGTGTGTTTCCAGAAAAACTCAACACACCTCACATCACTCAGTGAACATCAAGCAGATCTAATAGGTGGAATTTCATCCCCTATATGAAAGATTACACTAGTAGTGTTATCCCCTTTAACTGTTCTATTTACAATAATATTCTCGTCCTCTGAACTAGAAAATAGTTTGTCTGCCTTTCTTTTTGTCTTAATATAAGTACAAAATAATAAAATAATAATTTTGAAAAAAAAAGTAAAATATTTTTTTACTGTTGTTATAAAAACTTTAAAAATAATGTTGCAGGCATCAAAATATCTGCACTGAGACATATTATATAGATAACCAATTACAACAACCTCTTCCATAACACTTTGAAATTGTTCTCACAATACAAAACATTAATTGATGCTAAATATATTCGTCTTCCTAAAAATTTCCTTAAGTTAATTACTGGTTGGATGTTTTTTTTTTTCATAAAACTGTCTAATTTCCACATTTTCTGCACTTTCCCAATGACATGTTTGATACATTTATGTATTTTTCTTGTTCTTTAAATGCTTGTTACTTTTTTTAATATCCGTAATTTTCAGAACTCATTTCAAATTTTATGTGACATTTTTCACTGAGCTTTTCACATACAAGTTCAATATACATTTTTTTGCAGTGGTATAGAGGAAGTCAAAGTACTAGAATATTCTGTTATTGTAATCATTTTGTGAATAACATATTTTAAAAGTCAATGTGTACATTCTCAATATCTAGTAGCACTTTTTTTATCATATCTTCTTGAAATAGTATTTATTCCTTTGAATGTTACTGAATTATTTTCCAGATATTCTTGATTAGTACAAGTACAGAGCATTGTTAAACACAATTAATGAATGTCTGGGGTCAGCTCTACCATTTGCTCTTTGCTCAAAACATTTGTGGTACTCGCCAGTGTCAACTGACTGAATTAGTAAACCACCATTGAAGATGTCGTTAACAGTATTGATGTAGGTTATAATTATATTTTTTTCCTTGACCTGAGGTTATTTTATTCTTGTAATATCCCAGTGATAGTACATATTAGTCATAAAAAAATTAATACAATAAACCGTATTATATACAGTTACGCCTAAGGAATAATCATGTGACAGTGATTTTTGACTACCTCTTAATATCAAATAAAGTTTGATCTTTCTTTTGACAGTGGCTTCTGATGTGGAAGGTAATATATTAAACAAACAATTTTATTTTACAATTGATGGGGCATTTTCCTCCAAAAATATTTAATAGAAAACTACTGTTTTCTGTCTTGAACAATCTGTTTTGTTGTAGGGTAAAATTTGTTTTAGTTCTTCCTAGTCTTTTTAAATTTCTTTGTAACAGAAATCACAGATAATTTCACTTATTTAGTTTCATTGGATTTTTTATACCAGATGTATATATTAAAAGACAATAATATGTCATATATATGAATATGTTTTATATGAAGAAGTCCTATGGACTGCTGTCCCATGTTCTTGCACACTTTAGATCTTGGTCTGTACTAATAATTCTAAATATCTACACCTATTGTTCAAAACTGTTTCACCATTCAAAGTTAATATCTTATTGACATTAGTAAATACATCTTTAAATTCGACAAGTACAATTTGTAAATTGTCATCAACTAGTTGTAGAAACAAATGGTATGTTCCTTTATAAAGAATTGTTTATGTAGTAGTTTTAAGATTTAATGTACCTATCAGGAATGTTTTTTTTTCAAGTTACCAATTTAAAACAATTGTGGTTTATCTCATTTTTATTAATTTAAGATAATTTTTAAACTAATGTGTTTACAATTTGTACTAGCTATAAAGCAAAATAGGATGTATACTACCAAGAATTTAAGAGACTCATTATTAATTACCGATAAAATAAATAGAAGAATTTCCCCTTGAATTGTAACAAGTTCTGTATGAGCCTCTAGGGAAATGCCTGCCCACACCATTACACCACGTCCACCAAATTAAACTCTTGGAGTAAAACAATATTGCTGATAACGTTCACCAGGTCTTCTCCATATCCTAGGCCGCCCATCTGATGAGTATATCTTAACTCTTGATTTATCCGTGAACAGCACAGCACTCACACACAGAACAAAATGTATTATTTTTTAAATTTATTAATTTATTTCGTATCAAATTTACCAGCATAAACTTTCAT